TTAGCCCCCAATAAAATGATTTAAAATGTTTTTGAATTTATGCTTCTGTCAGGCTTTCCCCAGCTGCCAAGTAATGTTCCTTCAAGAATAACAGGAGGTCTAGGGACGCCCCAGCATGACCTTTTAGGAACCTCCTTTGCTTACAGATGAGATGTAATGGGAAAAAATACATCTCCTTAATGTAGCATTTTGAGGACCTTTCTGAGTTGGTCCTTGAATAATTTCATGACTTTCCCCCTGTAAGGAAAAAATATCTATGCTTCAGTGGAAAATCGTGCATAGAAGTTACCCGTCACCATTTTCGGATTCTGATTCTATGGAAGTTATTTTATAACTCTAATAAAACTGTTAGCAATGCAAAATAATTGTTTAGAGGTATGCAAATTCTGTCCAATAGAGTTCAATTGACTTCCTACTGTGGAAGAGCTATGGTTCCTTCTGCGTGCACATTTTAGCATTACTGAACTATAAGTGTTCCTGGTCTTTGTACTTAAAAAAAACACTGATTATAATGTAACAAAAGTAGTAAGAAATTCAAACAATATTAATGTGCCTGGAAAATAAAATAATTAACACATATTCAGTGTTAAATTTTATGTTTATGTGAGAGTCATGGTTATAAAACAAGGTCTAGAAAACTAAACTTTTCCTCAGAAGTATCATTTCATACCACATATGTTGTTAGGACCCTTGGTGGCGTTAACCATAAGGTCGGGGGTTAAAACCCCCAGTTATTCTGTGGGGGAAAAACATCCGGCTATCTGCATAGGACACTCAATGAGACAGTTTTACTCAGTTATGTAGGGCCTATGTGAATTGGGAGCCACTAAACTGACTGATGGTGGCCTTATGTGTAATGAATGAAGCGTTGCTGAGCCTACATATCTTCATGATGGTTGGTATGTTTGAGTCTCTTATTTTGGCAATTATGTCCATCCATCTCACTGACGCTTTCCTTCATTGTTATTGGTCCTTTACTTTATGAAGGAAGGAGCCCTAGTGGCACTGTGGGTTATTCATTGGGCTTCTGACCGCAAGGTTGACAGTACAAATCCATCAGCACCGCAAATGGTAGAAAGGGGGTCACACTGCGTGACTTCTTACTGTGTCTTCCAGGCTGCAGAAGGACCTTGGTCTTCGCTGCTTCTTTGCCGGCTCTGTCCGCACGCATCGGGCCTGCCCCGCGCCCCGTCAGGCCTTCGGGGCCCTCCATCCTCGGCCTCACCGCCTGCCCAGCCCCGAACGCGCCGCCGGATTCCTCCGCTCCCGCCTCTCCCGGTGCGGACATGCGGGCCACCATTCTCCTAGGCTGCTGGTTCTCCTCACGGCCCCGGCTCTCAGGGCCGCAGCCTCCGGCCTCGCCGGGGCCCGGCGCTGCCCTTTTGCCTCGCTTCCTCAAGCCCCGCGCTTTGACCTCACACGCCCGGGCGGCCGCGGGGGCCGAGGGGGGCGGCGGCCGCATCAGTCCCCGGCCCCTGCCCGGCAGGGCCTCGCAGCACAGCGCTCGCCAGAGAGCGGGAAGCGCGCGAAGGCGGCCGCCTCAGCCCCGAGTCCACAGCCCGCGGCCCCGCCCCGCACGCACGCCCGCCAGCTCTACCGACCGGAAGCGGAAGCGGAAGCGGGGCGTGGCCTGGCCTGACAGTGGTTGGGCCTAACGGGCGGAAGGACCACGAGCGAGCGTGGATGGTCTGGCGCGTGGCCGAAAGCTCCGCGCGCAAGCTCGAAAGCCAAAGGAGGTAGTTGGGGGGGCGGGGAGGAGGAGGTGTTACTTCGTGAGGTCCCGGCCGGACCTCCCCGGAAATCGGCAGGGCTCGTCCAAACCCAGACGCAAAGGCAAACACACGGCCATGGGTGATGCCCGCTGCTACCGACCGTCTCGGTCGGTCGAGGACAAGGTCGAACTGCCCGTGTGAGTTTCCAGACGGCAACTGTTTACTGGTGTAGAAAGCTCGTTCTCTCCCCTGCAGAGCGGGCGGCGCGCCCCATGCATCCGTGCTACAGGCCTCCTCACGGCTCACCACGGTGCAGTCGATCCCAGCTCAAAGGATGTGTAAATCCCAGCTGATTTTTCTCCACAAGCTCCTGTGTTGGTGGGT